GAGGGACAAGACAGGGCAGAGGTGGGCCTGGCTGCAAGTGGGGAGAGTTCCTCTCTGCTGGTTGCCTCTGAAACGCTGACAGGGAGGGAGGCGGCAGCGCCTAGCTTTGAGGAGGGGGAGAAGTTTGGGGCAGTTATCACGGGGCTGGCAGCGGCTCTGGGGGTCAGGGCAGGGACTCCAGGCTGTAGGAGGGAACCGGCACCTTTGGGACTGGGGTTTCCCCTCCTGGGAGCCACGCAGGTAAAGGCAGGGGCAGGGTCAATTTCTGGTCCCAGCGGTGCCTCTGACCTTGTGTGACCTTGGGCAGAATGCTGTCTCCCTGGGCCTCGGGTTTTATCCGTGTAATGAGGAGGCCAGACTAGAAAAGCAGTAAGGCCCCCTAGAGACCTGGGATTAAATTTAAGGCCACAGGTTGAAGACGGAGGGCTTCTTTCACTCCTTATTAGCATAGGAGAAGAGGAAGTGCGGAGTTAATATCCAGGCATGCCTGAAATGTGAAACTAAGAAGCAGGAATTTTATTACTACGTTGGGATTTGGCTCTGGGTTCTTTTGCACAGAATTTAGGTTTGTAGGTTAATTATAAAAACGTTACCAGAAAAAGAAAAAACCCTCCTGATTTTTCACGGTTGATTGATCTCGTTGCTGCGTTCTCTTCTGTCCCTTTGATGTCTGCATCTAGATGATTCTGCCGCTCTTTGGCATCAACAGCTGGCAGTGGGAAAGCGAAGGAAGGAGGTGAAGGCATTTAGCGTTGTTATGTGTTGGTAGCTCTGATGAAATCATCAATTTCTTCACTCATTTGTCCTTGCCTGCATAAGAAGAAGAGTGAATGAATACACGTTGGGATCAAGAAAGGGTGTGGAGAGACCATTTAATAACTTCATTTATCTCTGCTCTCTTGGCCTCTACCTGCTATAATGAAAAATTAGGGAAATTGAAAATAAGCCATTTATTAGATCCAGGAGGGAAGAAATGCAAAGATAAAGCAGGCGAGCTAGGATTTAGCCCTGTACCGAAACTATTGATAAATTTGGAATTAACACCTGTCTCAAGGAATTTGAGAAATTTGAATAGGGTCATTGTTTTCGCTTATGAAACAAGCATCACGAAGTCACGTGACAATATGCAATGCGTCCACACGAAAGGAAGCATGTTGAGCAAGAAAATAATATTTCTATTTCTTTAGACTCCATTCAGGGGCTCGGCTTATTTCTGCCTAAGCCCATGAGGCTTGATCAGAGTCGTCAAATCATTCATCTGTCCCCCCTCCCATTTCCCTCTGTGAGAGAAGAAGGGTCTTTGGGAACCTCTGTACTTTTGAGGAGTCTGTGGACGTATGGCTCCATCTCAACCTCTCCTGCCCTTGCGATGCTTTCCTCTTCTCCTTGAGATCCTGGATGTTTTGGAGCAGGTCAATGTCATCCTCCTGAAATGACCTACTCTGGCATCTCTTGAGCTGCTCCAAGCTGCACTGGCAGCCCTTTGGGTGTCTGTACTGACTGTCCTACAGGTAACTCCGTCACCTTGGGGCATCCCTTTGTCTTTCTGCCTTTTAAAAAATTCACTTACTTGAAGCATAATATGCATACAAAGAAGTGCACAAAGCATAAGTGCCTGTCTTGATGAATTATCATAATGTACACATGCAGTTGTCAAGAAACAGAACCTCGCTAATATCCCCAAACTGTCTCGTATTTGCCTCCCAGTTACCACTCTTATCCTTCTCCCCAGAGGTAACCATTATCCTGATGTCTAACAACAGATTAGTTTTGCTATTTTTCATCTTTATATAAATCGAGTTATGCTCTTTGAGAAGAAAGTGTATTGTGTTGTAGGACAGAGTATTCTGTAAATGTCAAGTAGACCACATTGACTATTCAGGTCATCTCTATCTTTACTGATTTTCTGCATGTTGTATCTACCAATTACTGATACAGGGGTGTTGGAGCTTTCAACTATAATAGCTAATGTGTGTACTTTTTGAAGTTCTATCAGTTTTTGCCTCTTGTATTTTGATGCTCTGTTATTAGGTACCTATGTGTTAGGGACTTTTATGTCTTCTTGGAGAATTGACCCCTTTGTCATTATGTAAGTCCCCTCTTTATCCCTGATAATCTTTCATATTTTGAAGTCTGTTTCGTCTGAAATTATGTAACTACTCCAGCTTTCTTTTGATTAGTGTTAGCATGATATATCTTTTTCCATCCCTTTACTTTTAATCCATCTGTGTCTGTACATTTAAAGTGGGTTTCTTGTATCCAACATATAGTTAGTTGGGTCTAGTTTTTTTATCCCCTCTGATAAACTCTGTCTTTTAATTGGTGTATTTAAATCATTCATGTTTTAAGTGATTATTGATATAGTTGGATTAATATTGACCATATTTCTGCTTACTATTGTTACATTCATTTTTTCTTTGCTTCTTTTTTCCCCATCTCTTCTGTTTTCTCTGATTTTAATTGAACATTTTATATGATTTCATTGTATCTCCTCCGAGTATCGGTGATACTTTAAAAAATTTTTCAATAGTAGTTGCCTTAAAGTTTAAAATACACATTTTAAACTATTCTATGTCCACCTTCAAATAACACTGTATCACTTTAAAATTCACTCAGGTAACTTTTAACTGACAGTTTCTAATCCCTCCCACTTATCCCTTAAGTATTGTTGGCATTCATTTTCTTTATTTACGTGCTATAATCACTCAACACATTGTTACTATTACTGCTTTAATCAGTTATCTTTTAGATCTATTAAGAGTAAGGAAAACAAAAGATTTTATTTTACCTTTATTTATTCCTTCCCCAACACTTTTTCTCTTTTAAGTAGATCTGAATTTCTTACCTATATCATTTCCTCTCTCTCTGAAGAATTTCTTTGAACCATTTTTTGCAGTAGAGGTCTGCTGGTGATGAATTCCCTGTTTTTGTCTGGTGGAGAATGTTTTTATTTCTCCTTATTTATTTATTTATTGAAAACAGCTTCATTGAGATATAACTGACATACAAAATATTACACACATTTTAAGTATACAATATGGTGAGTTTGAACATATGGATACCTCTGTGAAAACATCACCACAATCAGGTAATGACATATTCATTACCTTCAAAAGTTTCCTTGTTTTCTCCCTTTTGTTGACATACAGAAAACTGTACATAATTACTGTAGAAAATTTGAAGAGTTTTCTCCTTCACTTTTGAAGGATAATATCTCTGGATATACAATTCCAAGTTGGTATTTTATTTTTCTTTAAATATTTTGCTCCACTCTCTTCTTGCTTGCATGACTTCAGGTGAGGAGTATGCTGTAATTTTTGTATCCTTGTTCCCCTGTAGAAAAGGTGTTTTTCCCTCTGACTGCAATTCAAGATTTTCTTTTCCGCTTTCATTTTCTGTAGTTTGAATATGATATGCCTAGGTATAGACTTGTTGGTGTTAATCCTGATTGGTATTCTCCGAACTTCCTGGATTTGTGATTTGGTATCTGTCACTAACTTTGGAAAGTTCTTGGCCATTCTTGCTTCAAATATTTCTTTTGCTCTATTCTCTTCTCCTTCTGGCATTCCAATTATGCATATGTTAGACCTTTTGAACACATTCCACTGTTCTTGGATATCTGTTCTATTTTTTCATTCTTTTTTCTCTTTGCCTTTCAGTTTGAAGATTTTATTTTGACTTATCTTCAAGCTCACTGATTCTTTTCTTGGCTATGTCCAGGCTACTAATGAGTCCATCAGATGCATTCTTCATTTCAGTGTTTTTGACATGATAGTGTTTTTAATTTACTTTGATTCTTTCTTAGGGTTTCCATCTCTCCACTTACATTACCCATATGTTCTTACATTTTGTCTACTTTTTCCAATAGAATCCTTAACATATTAATCATAGTTATTTAAAATTCCCTGTCTGATAATTCCAACATCTGTGTTATATCTGAGTCTGGTTCTGACGATTGCTTGTCTCTTCAGGCTGTGGTTTTGTTTGCCTTTTGGCATGCCTTATACTTTCTTGTTGAAAGCCAGACATGTTGTGCTGGGTAAAAGGAATTGATGGAAATAGGCTTTCGTGTGAGGATTTATGTAAATCTGACTAGAAGCTGGGCTGTGTTTCATATTTGCTGTAGCTGTGTGTGCCAGAGGCTTCAAATCCCCTGAATGTCCTTGTTTCTCTCCCCTCTTGACTGTGGGCTTCCCTAAGCTCTCCTTCTCAGAGAAAGGCTGAGTCTTGCAGCTTTTCCAGTTATTATACTGAGACCTACTGGTGCCATGGTAAAGCACTGGGAAGGGGAAAGTGTTCTATTATCTTCTGATTAAATCTCAGTCTTTAATGGACCTGAGTTTTGAGGCTGTGACCATCACAAGTAATGTAGTTTTGTCTCCCTGTCTTCTACTCACTTCCTTGGATGCAGTGTTCCAAATCTATTTCCTTGAAACTATGATCCCTGTTAACTATGTTCCCCTGCCTTTCCCCTGATACATGATCCAAGAAGACTTGGGGGGTGCTGTATTGGGAGGAATGCCCTTCCCTCAGCTGGGATAGGCCTTGGCAAACTCTTCTCCCTTGAGGAGTTGGCATTTGTTATGGAGAATGCTCTGGGCATATTTCACATGATTACCTTTCCCTCCCCCTGCCAGAGCCATGAGGGGATCTTTCTTGGATCTTCACTGTGAGAACTTGGTGGGGTTCCCAGAGGTAAAGCCCAAAATAGTGTGAGAGCCCCCCCAATCCCATAGCTCCAGAAGTTTTCTTTTTTAGGCTAGTCCACACTAAAAGACTCCAGCAATTCATCAAAATTGCCTTTTAAGTGTCCCTACTAGTTTATGACTTCAGCAGATTTTGCTCCAGGTAAGATCTTGGCTATGACTCTGGATGTACCTGCCTCTCCAGATTTATGGGTGGCAGTTTGCCCTGCAACATCAGTTACCTAATGAGTCCAAGAAAAGTCATTGTTTTTCAGCTTGTCCAGCTTTTCTTGTTGTTGTTGTTGTAAGGATGGTGGATGATGACTTCAGAGCTCTTTACATGTTGGAGCTGAAACCAGAAGTCTGATATTTACCATTTGATCTTCTCTTGAGTTGCATCCAATGCATGTTTTCACAGTTTTCTCTCTTGTTTTGGATGAGAAAATCTTCTAGTAGCTTCCAGAGGTATGTGGTAAATATCTTGACACCTTGAATATCTGACACAGACAGCTTGTAGAACCTTCTGTTTGTCCTCAATGTTCTTAAATTTCATGATGATTAACTTGGGGTGTGTCTATTTTCATCTATTTTACTGGGCATTCAATGGGTCTTTTAGGCTAGAAAATCATGTCTTTTAGTTCTCAGAAATTTTCTTAAACTATATCTTGATCATTTCCTTTCCTCTGTTTTCCTTGGTTTCTCTCTCTGAATTCTATTATCGTATGTTGAACTTGTTGAACTAAACCTTCAATTTTGCTCTATTTCTTCTATTTCTCTATTTTATCTTCTAATCTTTTAAATGAGATTTCTGTTCTTGATATTACATTTGAAATTTTCCGTGGATTTTTTCCCTCTAAATATTCCTCTAAAATATAAATATTATAAAAAAGTTTCATTTTTTATGGATGCCATATCTTCTTCTCTCTCTGTTTTTGATGCTTTCTTCTCTGTGCATTATCTTTGTTTCCTCCAAGTAGCACCTCTTCTCTGTGCTTTGGTTTCTATCTCTCATGTTAGAGGCTTTCTTCAGATGTCTGACACCCTTGGTTCCTGGCTCATATGTACGAGTGGGACATAAGAAGCTGATTGGCAGCACTGAATGTGTGATTGAGATTGCCGACATGGCTGGGCTGTTTTGCTGGGGAACTATCAACATTAGGACCTTTATATCTTTCTTCTTGTGCTGGTTTAAGTTCACAAGGAAGGACGGTTTAACCTTCTTCCTGGAGGTGACAGGCTAGACATTCTGGAAGTCGAGTGAGAAAAGAGAGCTGGGGGTGGGGTACAGCGTCTCAATATTCAGTATACAAACCTTCATTTGCCCCCTGTTTCTGTATGGTACCCCAGGCTTCAGCTGTGCCTGGAAACTCCTGTCTAGATACCTTCCATTCTATTCTCTCCAGAGCATAAACCCTCAGTCCTCTGCTGAGGTGGGAAAGGGGATTTGAAGACAAAACTGCTTCATAAACAGACTTTCAAGTCATTCCATTTATAACTCCACTTTTACCTTCAATTGCAGAAGTATTTGGGACCACCAAATCCTGAGCCCTCCATGGATTCTGCTGAGAAAATCTGGCTGCTTCTTGGCAAGGCTGCCCTTAGACCTGGGATGAGAGCTTTGGAGAGTCCCGAGTTCCCTCTTCCAGCTGTGCCTTTTCACAAAGACCAAGAGGACATGCCTACCCAGAGCCTGAACTTCATTCTGTCCTTCTAGAATGTACTTTAAGGGAGATGGAGTCTTGAAATTCCCTGTCCAAATGACCCCATCCTTGCTTCTAGGGCCTTCGTGGACCTCTTTCCAGGGCTCATCCTCCTGGAGTGGACAGTGCTGCCAGCATGTGTACACCTAGGCCGAGGGGTGGCCGAGAGGCAGTGGTTGGTGGGAGGTGTGGACGGAGAAATGACAAGGCCCCTCCGGTACGGGAGGAATCGGGGGTGGGAAAGAAGAGACGGGGCCAGGCTCTTTTTGTGATGCCGTGTTCTGGTGTAGAACTCAGGGACATCTGAGGACTCCAATTGGAACCTGGCTGTTACGGGTTGAATCAAGTCCTCCTAAACGGACATGTTGGGGTCCTATAACCCCCAGTACCTCAGATTGTGAGCTTCTTGGAAATGGGGTCTTGTAGATGTCATTAGTTGATGAGGTCACATTGGAGTAGAGAAAGTCCCTAATCCAATGTAGTTGGCGTCCTCATAAGAAGGCCATGGAAAGACAGAGACACAGGGAAAAGGCCATGTGAGGATGGAGCTAGTGATCGACAAGCCAGGGAAGCAAAGATCGTGGACCTTCACCAGAGCGAGGAGAGAAGCGTGGACGGTTTCTCCCTCAGAGCTCTCATGAGAAACCAGCCCTGCCCACACCTTGATTTCAGGCCTCCAGCCTCCAGAACTGTGCCACAAGAGATTTCTGTCATTTTAAGCCCCCCAGTGTGTAGTACTTTGCTATGCATTGTCCTTTTATGTCACCAAGTAGGTATAGTAGTCAAGGTAGAAGAGAGACGGCATTTTTCAAATCCTTTCAATGAAGTTCATTATCTTGGTTTAGCCATTTTTCAGAGTTAGGGCACGTGGCTTCCTTTGACACTCCTGCTCCGTCCCCACAAAGGAAGAGGGTGATCTGGCTTCTTGCATCCCCCAGTTCTGGTTTAGGATCCAGCTTTATCCCACCTACCCAGCCAGTCACCACCCATCCTGCACTTCCCAGCATTTTCCCACTGTGCTCTCCCCATGGCTTTTGCTCCTAGCAGGTCTATACCAGCACCATCCGATAGAATTTTCTGCTGTGATGGAAATGTTCTTTATCTGCTCTGTTCAGTATGATAGCTACTGGCCATACGTAGCTATTGAGCACTTGAGATGTGGCTAGTGTGACCTGGAAACTGAAGTTTAGAACTTATTTAAGAAAAATGTAAATTTAGCACATGTGACTAGTGGCTATCATATTGGATAGTACAGCTCTATACTGTATTATCTATACTGTACAAAAAAAAAACCCCAAAAGTTTTTGTTTTCAAGGTCACGAGGGAGGTAATAAAAGTAAAGGAATGTGTTCCACCTGCCATCTTTACACTAGTATCTCTTCCAAGTCTTGAATTTTATTTCAAAGAGATCTTAGAACTAAACCAGCCATAGTGAGGTAAAAAGAAAAAAAAGAAGTTCTGGTCCTGTGCAGTAGATGAGCCCTGTTATACGGTTCTGTGCAAGGAGGTGGCTTTGCAGAGGTCCCTGCTGTCACAGGTGAGGGGCTGGCCAGGTAGGAAGTGGAAGTGCTGCCTGGGGTCATAGGACGAGCTTGGGACCCCTGCCCCCAGGCCCGCTTGTCTCCCTGCAGCCCACCTTTCCTTGTCACTCAGGGGTCGTGGGCCAACTCCCTGGATCCTCGGTGGTTCAACCTCCTGTCAGGTCAGGGATGCTCGAAGTTTCCAGAGGCTGCACCTTTGTGACTCCCGAACATCCAGGTTGGCTTCCCAGGTCCTGCCGCCCCTTGGCTGCTGGAAAACAGATTGGGTTGGTAAAAACATGAGTGCGTGTTCTCACAGAACCTGAGAAAATCACACCTGGTCTTTGACAAAAAAATCTGTTTGTGTCGCTCTGATAATCACTTCCTACCTGGTGGGATGACAGGCCATATGCCTGCGAAGTGGCCAGGGGAGAAGATGGTCTACCCTCACTGCACCTTGCAAAATATATTTTCCTTGCTGATCAGCTCTAAATTATCAAGAATCGAAGCCACAGGCTTCTGCTTGCAAACAATAAACCCAGTGCAAACTGCTCCTGGAGGTGGAGGGAGCGGGGACCTGGACTCTGGCCCCGAATCTTCGTGACCTGTGTGCTTAGGGGTAAAAGCAGCCAATGGGATTTTTAAGTTTAGAAGGTCAGTGTCTGGGGTTGAGGGGAGACGCCAGCACACCGAGTGTAAACCAGGCCTCGACTGAGTGAGGAAGGTTCGTCTGTAGAAAGTGGGACTTGCTTTGGGGTTTGGTTTACTGGGGAGCCCTGCCAGCCCCTCCTGGACACTGGGGCAGGTCCACACAGGGAGGCTCTGTATGCTGAGCCCCAGCGCTCATCTCACACCATCCTGATGGTTCGGATGCTGAAAGGTGGAAGGTGAGCTGTCTGTGATGCGGGCTTTCCTGCCTCCCCTCCCGCCCATTCCTGGCCCTCGGGGCTATTTGAGTGTGTTGGCTCAAGAATTCAACCCTTAAAGTGGTCACTGTCCCATGGAAGCTAGTGCCCACGACACAGAAATGAGAGCCCCAGGGGTTTTTTATTCTCTCTGCACCCTTTCCCCAGAGTTGACCAGAACTATTCTAGAATGACCGGCTCTTTCTCACAACACTGGTTCCGGATCAAGCCTCTCTTGACAAGTGACCCTGTGACCTTAGGTTGATCTTAAACGTTACACGTTTTGGTTCTCTTACCTGTGACTGCAAAGGGTAGTGTGAAAAGAAATCAGGTTAAGAGATGCAAAAATACTTTTTAAAATAAGTTACTGACCTTAGTTAGTGTCCATTTCATTGCTTAAAATTTACTTGTTATATAAATAGTTCATTATGTGTTGGACTTGAGATGATTCACTCCCCTCCCTTAAGAAATTATTCACATCCTTTGTGGTCCAAATTCGTTGATTATTTGGAAGATCTGAGAAGTGAAGTTTATCTTTTGGATTTTTCATTACCAACAGGAGTGAATTTGCAAAGGCGTGCTACATGCTGAATGTTTGTGTTTCCCCCAAATTCACATGTTGAAGTCGTCATCCCCAGGGTGATGGTATTTGGAGGTGGGGCCTTTGGGAGGTGATGAGATTGTGAGGGTGATGCCTCCATGTATGGGCTTAGTGCCTTTATAAAGAGACATGAGAGAGATGATCTCTCCCTCCACCACGTGAGGACACAGCAAGAGGGTGGCCATTTGCAAGCCAGGAAGAGAGGTCTCACCAGAACCCGACCAGGCCGGTGGCCCAATCTCCTCCAGCCCCTAGAGCTTGGAGAAATAAATGTTTGCTGTTGAAGCTGCCTAGTCGGAGGGATTCTGTCGGAGGGATTCTGTTACGGCAGCCAGGACTGGCCTGTAATTGACAAAGGAGCATGGCTTGTAATTGTCAAAGCAGGCACTGTGGTACTCGCAGGTACTCTGAACCACACACGATGTAAATACCAGCAATTCCTGGGGTCCTGCTTGAACACCTCTGTTCCCGCAACCCCAGGAGATGCCCATGGAGGTCCAGGAGTCAGCTCTTTTTACCATATTAGATTCATTTTTCTGTTATCATCCAAGGAACAAAGGGTATTAAAACAGCACTGTGACAGCAGTGGGCGCCAGTTAAACCAGAAGGAAGCCCAGGCCAGATGAAGGAGAGAAACCATTTATTCCAGAACCTGGAAGTGACGCTGGTAAGCACAGACTAGGCCTGGCTCCCAAGGACCCTGCTTCAGGTGTTTCTTCCCTGATCTCTTCCAGCTGGAAGACATCTCCCTGTGGAACCCCCTCAGCGCAGCATCTGCTCCTTGCCTTGGGCACTTATTACTGTCTGCCTCTGGTGAGTTATTTCTGAACCCTCCTTATCTCACTTCCTGGACCTCTGGTGCCTCAAGGGTTGGGACTGTCGTAACCACCTGTTATCTTCCTCCAAGGCCTTTGGCTTTCCTCCGAGGCCAAGGGCCTCGCACGAGAGTTATCATTTAGCTGAACCCAGCCCTGTGTGGTGTCAGAGCCATCCCCGGATGACAGGGCTGAGCAGTTTCTCTGCACCAGCAGGCTGGCACCCCGGGCAGGGTGGGGGGCAGCATCCCAGCTCGGCTGCCATCTTGGGATTTCAAAGGCCCCTGGAGGAAGTTGCCCTGGGGAGGTTATTGGCTCCCATCGCCATCTCCTGCCATGTTCCTTCCTCCTCTGGGTTCAATGTCTTTCCATCAAGTATCACCTCTCTCTGCTGTATCTTCTCTCACTTGCCTCCTGCCGGCTATTTCCCCGGTGGATGGTCCTTCTTCCATTCTCTCTGTTTAACGCTCACCTCTCTGGACCCTGCATCTCCCTCAGCCTCCCTCTCCCCTTCCGGCCAAGCTTCTCCAGGGAGATGTCCCCTCTGTCTCATTCCTTGGCCACAGGGATTTGGTGCCCTTCCCCTTGCTCCCCTGGGCTGGCTCTGGGTTGGATGTGAGGTTTCAGTGGCCTGCTGTTTGCTGGACCTGTGTGCTCTTTTGGTGTTAATCCGACTCGCCCTGTCTGCAGCATCTCACCCTGTCGATGCCTCTCTTCGCGGAGCCTCTGCTCCCTCGGCATCCTCGTCAAACTCTCCTTTTGCTCTTCTTGAAAGGCAGCATCCTGCTGGCCCTTCACTGACTCCTCTTCTTGTTTAACTATTAGTGTTCTTTGCCCTCTGCATCCCCCGCTCCCCAATGCCAGCCACTTCCTTTCCTTCTCCAAGACTTCAGTGACCACTTGGATCTGATACTCCCAAATCCACCGCTGCAGCCCTAGCCCTTCTCTGATGCATTTCTAGCCGCCTCTGTTTCCTTTGTCACAAGCACCTCGAACCCACATGTCTAGGATAAAAGTGACGGCTTACTGGCCAGTATCTCTGGCTGGCTATTGTTAACGGCACCACCTTCATCTGCTTGCCCAAGTGAGTCGTCCGAGGCTCACCTCTCTCCCCAGCCTGGTCCAACGACAAGTGCTCTGATTCCCCCATGTGGTCAGGTGGGCTATGCTCTGGTGACAACTATCCCCAAATTTCAGCGGCCTAACACAGTAAACGTTTGTGTCCTGCGCACACAAGTGTGATGTGGGTTGGACATGTCTCCTGGCAGCTCTCCTCCAGGCAGCCACTCAGGGATCGCGCCCTGCTCCATCTGCACCAGAAACACCTGGAGCCCGGGAACATGCTAGGTGCCGCCGAAGGGGAAGAGCAGACCAGAGGATCCCGCAAGGAGCCTGGAAACGGTTTACGACACTTCTGCTTCATCCCGCTGACCAGAACTCAGTCCTGTGGTCCCTAAGCTAACTGCCAGGGAGGCCGGGGAACGTGGCACCCCGTTTGCCCAGGGAGAGGAAGCGGTTGGATGCCCTGCCCCCTTGCTCTGCCCCGCCCCCTTTGCCCTGCCCTGCCTCTCCGCCCTCACAGCTCTGCTCTGGTCTGCACCCTTGTCATTTCCTCCTGGGCGAGCGGGTGCTGCCCTGGCCAGTCTCCCTGCTCGCAGACCCTTTCTTTCTGACCCAGCCCTTCCTCGTCCACGGAGCACACAACCTCCTGTTTAAAATCTTGTGGCGCTCGACTCCTGTGCTCTTAGGATGCAGCCCAGTCTCTGTTTTAGCAACAACCAGGAGGTCGTTCGTGGCTGGCCCCTATCAACCCCTCCATCCCTAGTTCCCACCACCCTCCCCAGCACAGCTTTCTCTCCAGGGGCAACAAGCTCCCTGCAGTTCCCCAGACATGTAGTATTTACGATATCTACGAACGCCCCTGGCCTTACCTGCAGGTGTTCCCTCTTCCAGAACATAGTCTGGGATCTGGGCCCAGGCCAGCTCGCGAGGCACCTCTTCGGACCCACCTTTTCGCAGCCCACCGTGACAGAGTCAGCAGTTCTCTCCTCTGGGCTTCCAAAGCCCTTTATTAGGACTCATTGCATTTTCTTCCTATTGTTTTTCCAAGAGTCTGACTTCATCTGCAAGCCCGGAGGTGACCAGGGCCTCTGTGTTCCCCTCCCTGTGCTGACAGCTTTGCATGTTTTAACTCATTGGATCCTGTGAGAGAGGCGTTACTCTGATTTCTATTTAAAACATACTGGGGAAACCAAGGCACAGAGAGGTTAAGGAACCTGCCAAGCTCACACAGCCAGCAAGGGTGGGAAGCAGCTTGGCTCCAAGTCCACACGTGTGGCCTCCATGCTTCACGGTCTGTCGCCAACAGTGCTGGACAGTGTCCATCTTCATGCCCGTCTCTCACCCACAGAATGCTGGTCACTACTGGTCGGTGAGATGCACAGGTGAGTTGGATCCATCTTCCAGTTTTTTGGTTTTTTCTTGCGGTACGCGGGCCTCTCACTGTTGTGGCCTCTCCTGTTGCGGAGCAC